TAGTTTAGACTTTTTTCTTGCCTGTTGGTTTGGTCCTTTGAATTGCTCTAACAGTCCTTCCGCAACCTCAGCCACGCAACTTTGTGAAATACCTGCCTTTTGTAGGCTTGAAATCTCTAAATTAAATTGTCGTGCACCAAGTGTTCGCAAGTTCTTTTTAGGACACCTCCGAGTCCAGACAGGTGTTAGCAATGCCCCTTTTGACTATTTTCGAGTGAGCAGCCTCGAACGGCACGATGAATTACTTTGATATTGGCGGCTCGTACGCTCAACATATGTAACCTTCTGTCCCAAAATTTGACCATTCTTTTTTTTTTCGTGAGGGAGAGCATCCGGTTGTCGGCCGCCCCTTGCCCGCGGGTTGAGCGGGGAAGCTGGGGCCATTGGCTGGTGCTGTATCGCGGCCCACGCTAATTAGGAACCGGGGGAGATGTCCCCTCTCGAAGAGGGTGCGGCAATGTGTTTTGTCCCCGACTCGGGAGGGTTTTTCGATGCAGACGACGGAGGAAATATGCTCCCGCATTTGCAGGGACGAAGGCTTCTCCGTCAATAAAGGAACATAGGGAAGTATTCATTCCTCTTTTTCCATTTAACCATTTTGATAAGCAGATGGCGTCGAGCCCCGGTGACAGTGCATTATTATCTTCCGTTTCACAGTAAGTCAGCGTGCAGCTGACGCAATATTTCGATGGAGACAATCAAGCAGAGCCAAAAGTGCACCGTCATGGCGCATTGTGTCTTTAGGCGTCTGCTTGAACCGGTTAAATCAATCACGTAAAAAAAAGGTGCATGATCACGGCGCATCCTTTCTGGGTGATTGGTTTCGACGATGGTAGCAAATGCAAAAAACCGACGAGTGCCGTGATGATGCGCGTCCGACGTTTGTTGATTGGATCCATCAGATTGTCGTGTCAGCTACGCTCGGACTTTGTGTGAAACGGAGTATAGTGGAAAGCTTCCGGCTATTTCCCTCGTGTAATGGATATTCCATGATTATTAAAGAATACGTTCTTCCTTTAAATTGGCCAAACTCATTAAAGCAAAAACCCTTGTTCCTTTTTAACGTCTTAAACGGTCTTTGGCAAGGCGTGCCGCGTGTCGTGAAGCCCAGATAAAAGCGTGGCCGCAAGGCTCGACACTGATTGGTTCTGAGGGGGGGGGGGGGGGGGGGGGGCGAGAGACCATTGAAGTAAAAAAGCGCTTGCGCCAGGCGGGAAACGAGCACGGACCATTCACATTATTAAGCGAGTGTCTTTCCAGCATGTCGCGACACGTCGCCGAGAGCGTTTTTGTTATTCTTATTTTTTATGCACACTGTTAGCCTGTTCAGGCGGTTAGAGAAGTGTACAAAGCGTAACAATACATTTGTTGAATAAACGAAACACCGATATGGCAACTACAGTTAAAAACGTACACGTAAAAGCATACGTGAATACAGGAAAAATGTCCCCACACATATTCCTACACACACCGTAAAAAAAAAAAAAAAGTGAGACAGGTGTTTGATGCAGTTATAGAAATACGCAGCGTTCGATTCATGAACTTTGAGTTCATAAATCTTCAGAAAGTCACAAAACAAGGATGCGCATGATATCATCACAGAGAAAAAATGGAATTAATGATTTTACGGGAATATGAAACAATAGTGAGGGGTTATTTTTACCAAAAAGGTACAATAGGCCTTTTTCAAAGCAAATTAGTATATTCGCTTTGTTAATCCTTGAGATAGGCTGTTCCACACTTATATAGTTCTTGGAAAAAATGAATATTTATATGGCATCATTATGTTCCGTATCTAGTTGAAGTGCCATTTGGCAGGAAAGCCCTGCGGGGCATCTGCTCTGCGTCCGACAGTTAGCAACTTGACACCCTGTCACCTGTTTGAAAAAAAAAAAAAAAACGGTTAGCGCAGGTATCTCCATTCCAGGAATTGATATTGAGTGTATGTACAGAGCGCGACACTGTTAGCGCGAACAAGCGATCGCCGGTTTTTCCAGTTTTTTTTCTTTGAAACCAAGGGATGTCATCCAAGTTAATATATCTATGTAAAGAGCTCATTTAGTTCTATAATGTAAGCTATAAAATTTCGTGCTCGCTAATACTATTTAGAAGTAAAAGGCGAAAATGCGCCGATGTCGTGTTCGCGCTAACAGTGTCGCGATGTGTACATGGCACGCCTTATGCCAGTCGCTAAACTAACGGATGAAGAGCGCCAAGAACGCAGCCGCCATACGTTTGACGTCTAATAGAATTTGCCAGCAATTTGCTATGCATATATGTTTGTATCGCTGGGCACTACAGTTGTCAGAGCTTCTGCAGTCTTTGACGGCACAAGAAACACAGAATAAATCTTATTACGTTCACGCGTCTTGCTTAGTGATTGGTCCTTGTCTGTTCTTATATGGTCATGCGGCCACCTCATTGGCAGCGTAACCATAATGAGACGCTCGGGGCCTGCCACGCATTAGGTTGCTTAAGCTGGCAAAGTTTCTAGAGTCCCTTTATATAAGGGCTCGTTCACACACTTGCCTTTGCTTAGAACCGATCTCTTGGGTTATCTTATTACGAGAGTGCACACAGGCGAGCTGGTGCCATCTACGAGGTGACCCTGGAACTCTAATATGAAGGTTTTGCGGCATTTCCGAGATTAAAACTATGAACAGTCTATGAGGAATTGTCGTTCATAGACTGCCAAACGAGCTTTGAGCCGAGAGAGAAAGAATAATAAACAAACGAAAGAAAATATGCAGAAGCTGCAAGTGTTTTCCACGGCTACCCGATTGATTGCTCCTGTGTGCTCTCTAGGCCTAATTCAGCCTGCCCATGTAGCACACGAGCGATACGCTTAACTTGGCACAAGCTATAGGCAGCTTTAGGAGACTCTAGCTGGGCCTAATGCGGTTTTGCTCCATCATGTTAGGTAGTGCCAGTGTATTCTTTTGTATTTTATGGCTTTTCTCTGGCTCGCAGCGTAATTTTCAAAATGTCAGACATGAGTCAAAGATGCCAGGCACGAACCGAAGTACAAGTGGTGAAGCCTAAACCTAGCTCTTGTTTCCCTATTGAAAATTCCATCAAGGTACGTAATTTGGGACACTGACTGCCAGTCAGCAGCCTTGGTGGAACGTGATGAACCATCAGACGTCAACTGATGGTCCATCAGATGACGTCTGACTGCCACTGCCAAGGGAATTTCATCAACAAGGGCAGCATTTATATTAAGAGTAAAGCTATACCCACTCATAAATATCGCCCAATGCCTCGATAAAACAAAATGTTCGAGAAAAAAAAAAATGCAGGACCACCTCGGATCGATCCCGCGACTACTTGCGTACAAATAGGACATCTTAGCCCCTATGCTACGCCCTGGCTCAAAGAACGCAATCTCACCATTCGTTTTATACGAGATGCTTCGGTTGCAAATGCAGTTAAAACTACAGCATGTTATGCAAAGCACTCGTACATCACTCGCCGTACTTCAGTTCTACTCACCTGCCATGTAGAGTACTTTCGCGCCGTAGAACCATCCTTTTGTTCACGCGTCTCCGGCCCAGTAGACCTGGTACACCTTGTCGTCTTCAACTACACCGCTAAAGTCCCTTACATCGTCGGAACTCACAACAGGCTGGGTCTTGTCGAGTAGAAATTCTACTAAAACATAAGACTCTGTAGAGCCTGGGCAGGGTCGACAGGTTGGAGCAAGCGGGCAAACAAAACGAGTCGAGAGCGATCGTTCATGAAAGCTCGGCGAAGCCTCTATAGGCGAAGCGAAGTGGCGTTTTCGGTGTTTCGGCGGGCTTCTGATCAAGGTTGTCGGTCGGCTGCGTGTCATATCTCTAACATCAGCGGTTTTATGGGCTCACGTCCCGAAATCGTTTTTTTGTGCATAGACTATTTTTCGTAATCATAGATTTGACGAAATAGTGGTATCCGAACGAACTTTACGTCCTTTGACCGTACGTCTGTCTGCACGTCAAAACTTTTTGACGTACAGTCACAGCCAACCGATGTACAATCAGAATAGCCACCAAGACATCTTGATGGCATTTCGCGGCGGCCGACTGCCACCAGGAAACCATCAGAAAGCCGACAAGTGGAGTCCGACTGGAGTTTGACTGTCGGTCAGAGTAACTTGTTGGTCAATCAGACATGCTTGACGTACAGCCAGGCACAGTCAGCGGTCCACTAGAAAAATTGACTGCCAAACAGGGTTACATTGATGGATTTTTCCTTCGGGTTGCCAATTTATGCCTGTGTCTGTGTCTGTTGTGTCTGTGTGTTTTCTTTTACTGGTCCGTCGTCTTTCTGCGCTGTTTTTAACCCATTCATTATGCCGACAGTTTCCACATAAAAACTAAACAACGAGAACTAAAGCCAAACTCTGGCATTGGCATGGTCAATTAAGCGCAAAGAAACCAGCCGAACTTCCACCAGTGAGGCCTAACCTTTAACCGTGCAACTTCTTTTGAGCATTAGGACCAAGGTGCCCTGACTCAGGCAAAATAAAAAAAATCACATCTAACTCTACCTTGGTTTTTCGTGCTGCGTAACACCCTCAAGCTCCAGACAAAAAAACAAATGTCGGCCTAAAAAACTGTGCTACCTGGGTTGCTGCCAGTTTTCAATCTGAGTCAACAATGAGCTTCCCTGGCTCATTTCTGCCGCCCAACAACAGTCTCTGAAAACTGCAACGAAACCCGGAAGATAACCCACGAAGCAATCGGTGCGCATGCGCTGTAGCGGCGTCTTCGTTGCGGGTGGCGTAGCGGAGGTGAATAAACGGTCTTTGAAAATTTTGTAATAGTAAACGGACGCAAGCTGTGGTTCGAACAATAGGGGCTGAACAGTGGCTGGTTTGACTGTAGCAAAGGATATCTTCTGTCAGTTGCGCCATTAATGTCCCTCCACTGTATGCAACCAAGAACACGCAGGTCCTGCAGGAGACCAGTAGACTCGACAAACAACACTTCAAAACTATGAATCTTATAACAAAGGAAACATTTAATGCAGCAAAATGTTTATTCCAACCTTCTTTTAATACAAGAAACGTTTCCTGATTAGGCAACTTGAGATGTTGATATCGGTGGGTGACGACGACCGGTCGGTATCTTCGGGTCTCTGTGCGATCAGCCTGAGCGAAGGAAACAAAAGTATTTAACATGTTTCCACTTTTTTTTTTCAAGCGCCATCGAGACTCTACGCTTCGTCATATTATTCGCGAATTTAATCCTACAGTTTGATCCTAAACTAAGATCTTAAATTTATTTTTAAAAAAACAACATTGATTTATTAGTTGTACTCAGACAGGGAAGACAGGGAAAGAGGCGCTTAAGGAGTTCACATCGAACTCACACTACCTGCTTCGAGAAGAGCTCGTAAAATATGTTGGGAGAGGATGTAGATGGTGTCTACTAAAAAAAAAAGGTAAATTAAATACACTTTTTTAAATTTACATCTATTTCTTAGGTTGCTCATAAAAATAAACGTGATAATTTCGACAAAAAATTCAGCAATTATAGAGGTCGCCGCGCAAGGCAGTTAATATGTACTCCGTGGCTGAAGACATAAACGCATGTAGAGACGTTTGCAAGTACGGCCCCAAGGTGCCACCATCTTGCTGCCGCCGTGTGTAAACAACACCCCCTAGGAGACAAGTCCTGCGCATTACGCCATTGTTTGTGGATCCCCGACCTGCCCCAGCGGACAAACACGTACGCTGAAGCCGGGACAAGATCCGCGCGCAAAGCGCCACACGCGTCCGTCTTGACGTCATGGCCTTCTAGCGTCGCCGCCATTGTGAGGCGCTGCGGGTAGCGTTGCCGGCGACGCTGACGCAAGGTAGGTGGCGCTGCGCGGTACCATTAGATATAACGTTTGGGGAAGAGTCAGGCTCGTATTGATAGATACTAACGGCTGCACCCTTTAAACCGGGCGGCAGCTTGCGCCACCTAGGCAGGATTCTTAAAGTATGATTTTTCTTCCCTGCCAATTTCCTTCCACTCTTTCTTTTTGTAACTATCACCTTGCTAAGGCAAGCCCAAAGTTGCCATTCTGGAGCACGGACTGTGCATTTTCTGAATACGCTGGCCAGACTAGCTTTCGAAGCATGAGTGCTTGCAAACGTCTACAGACGCACGCCTTGCACGCGACGTTATAACACTCTACCTGCAGCCATTGCCACGTACCCTGCTCCTCTGCCCGTACCTTCTACAGCATGCACTCGGCACCATCGAATTTGTTCTAGGCAAGCAATTTGATGGTGCCAAATGTATGCTGCGAAAGGTGCGGGCATAGGGGCATGGTACGGTGCAATGGAGGCAAATGTGATCTAAACGCAAGCCATGTAAGGTTTAAAAAATATTTCTAAAAATCATTTAAGTCGTACTTCAGCTTTTTGTTTTTAAGGGGAGTTTTTAAGGATTTTTTAACGACCCGAACTAAATACGTTTTCAAAACGCCCATGATTTACTTTTCCCGGCAAGCTATTTAATAACTCTAAATTCAAAATAGTGAGAAAACGGCTTCTGTCAAACCCATCGTTCAAATTTCCTCGCGCTTTCCCATAAAATTTGCAAGTTGAGCTAGCAGTCAAGACAATGGACGACGGAGTTTAAAAATTAAATACCATTACGAAACAAATATATTTTGTCCTATAATTTTGGTTACTAGCGAAGCCGTGACTATAGTTATTTTTGACCAATTTCCAGTCAAGCCAGCGACCATCAAATTTTCGCACATTTTAGAGATGAAATAATGATATTCACTGATTTGTCTCAAATTTAGTTTAACGAAATAATACACAAATCTGAACTTGTAACCAAATTACAGGAGACAATATTGCTTTCGTGGAGTAATCAGAGTTTCAATTTCGGTCCCAGAGCCGGAGAGACTCACAACACTGAAAACGTGACATCAGGTGTAACATAGGGCAATATATGCGGAGTACAGCTTTTTACAAATGGATAGCAATATGTATTATGGTGTGAAATAAGTGCTGGTTAAGCTCACACCAGCAAAATAAAGAAAGAAATTTCCTAAAATATCAACATCTTTTGAGCCATAGTTCTCGACTCGCAAGTTACACTTGTGACGTCATCCCGCTGGAGTGCAGGCGAAAATTCGAGTCAATATTTTGCATGAACTTAGCTACTTTGAATTTAGAGATAAAAATAGCCTGTCCGAAAAAGTATAGCTTGTGTAATCCGAATATATGCTTAGTTTCGATAATTAAAAAAAGACAAAAAGAAAAACACCAGAGTTCACTTTTAACAATATGATTGTCTACTCATGTAGGCGCTCAAAAATGGGAATTCATACATGTAGTTCCAGTGATGGACTGGAACAGGGATATGATGCCAGCAATGATTGAAGACCCTCCCGTCGACGTACTAATAAGTTTGAATATGGTGCAGACGATGCTGGAAAGGGCTCCACCAGGGCTGGTGTTGAGAACAACCCCGGCCAGGCACTGCAGTAGGAAACAGCTCAAGTTTAGACAGGTACGATGTCTGGAACGCGTATCCGACTGGCGTTTTGCGCGTCCTATTCCGCCTAAGCATCTAGAGTGGTCCCGAAATAGCAGCAAATGAAGTCCCAAAAGTCGGAGTCTTATTCGCTCAGTAATCGCGACCCTGGTAGTTGGTGGCAGAACTTCCGGCAAGAAGAGCGAACAATGCAAGTGTCGCCGTCGTCAGGGTGTTCCAGTCCCTAACTGCCGAATTTTCCATGATCTGTCAATCCGGAAAGCAACCTGAAGCGCAACAGGCGTCTGGCACATCCACCATAGCTGCTCTGACACTGCCAGGGTCGCGACCGTCGAGAGCATGATACTTCTATGACGTCATCGGGTGAGCAGACCGAGGGACACTTTTTGACCAGGTGAAAATAGCAGTCGGAGACGCGTTCCAGGCCGAATGATATAAGGCGAAACTTTTGCTTGACCACTAAACTTCCTTTCAGTAAAAGGGGCAACTGGTACTTTCCACAAACTGTATCAAGAAACATTAGCAGTCGGCACTTCTTGGGCACGAACTATGTGAGTGAATGCGAGCCCTCACCGAACACTGCCGCAGTTTTCGTGTCGAATACATGCTCTGAGTACGTGCCCATTCAATGGAGATACTCCATTGAGCTTGTAGATGGCGCGAATATTTGAAAGCGGTTCATTCCGCACTGTAAAAACACAATGCGTCTACTTCCCTGCAAGAAACTTTGGACAGCCAACGGCTGCAAACTAAAGAAGGACGTCTGCTAATGGCGATGTGAAAATATGCTTCCACCTTACGGCGAATTCCACTGATCGTTTTGGAGCGCGCCGGATCGACCTTTCTGGAGCTAGTCTATTTCACAGGGCGATCGGGATCGAGACGGACGTGTTCCACGGGTCGTTTTGAATTAGTTCCTGCTCCAGTTCTCGGTCTGGATCCGAGAAAAGTCGCTCGGACAACTTTCGGCGGATTCAACCGGAAGTCAGCTGGGCCAGGCCTCGCCGCACAGGTGACCTTTCTTGCGGGGCATCTCGGCTGATCTCGCCTCAGAATTCATACTGGCAGCTTGCTTACCACTTGGCTCGACAGCCAAGTGGCTGTCGAGCTTTTCCAGTATGGAAAAGAGAACGTTTTTTTTTTTTTTTTTTTTTTTTTTTTTTTGGGGGGGGGGGGGGGGGGAGGGGGCGCAACAGGTATTCCGGCAATCTTTGCTAGAAGCTCCTGAGCCATTCCTGCCGCTCGTGCGTCGAACACGCGTTAGCACCGCGATTGCGAAAACGTCTTCGGAACGACCACGGCGGCTGCGGAAAGGGGATTCCCGGGCAGTTGAATGACGGGAAGGCATCCGCCGATCCCGGAGCAGTGGTCATGTTCAACTGGGGATCTGTAGGCGGCGTGACCCCGTTCGGATCCTGTGCTCCACTCCGGATCTGGTCAACTGACCCCGGCGCGCTCCAAAGCGCCCAGTTGAATTCGCCATTAGAGAAAATCGTCTGCGGTGTGACGTCGAGAACGACCTAAGCAAGTGAGACGTGTGATTGCCCTATTTGAACGGGCCGCTTTTTCGCAAGCAGGAAGCCCTTTCGCGCTCGTTGCTTGAGAAAAAATGGCTCTTGATGGTAAACCGAGCAGCGTTCTTTTGACGTATTATATATGTACACTGACCACCACCGAAAAGGGCGGCGACACGATGGCTTGCGATACTGGCGGTAAAAAACAAACTTTGCCGCGGCGGAAACGATGAACACCGCGTACAAGAGCGCTAAAAGCGTCGACCCGGGGCACTAATCGCGCGTAACAACAGAAGTAAAGATAGCGGCCGGCTCAAATAGCGTCTTAAGCCAGCAAAAAATCTTCGGAGGTGGTATCCACACATGCGCGCCAAACACTGGCGGTTGTTTACCCAAGCCTCGAACCTCCATGCCCCCACCCCTCCCCGCCCCCTCTCCTATCTCTCTCATGTCGACCAGTGGATTATGTGAAGTCACAAAAGAAGTCGCTGCCATGTCTCTCAGTAGCCGGCGGGCAAGCTTTTGTGACGTGCTTGAAAAAAGGTCAATCTTGCCCCAGATTCCCCACATGTTGCACTCCGTAAGGAAACAGCTCGACGCAACCGTTAATATTGCTAGGAGAAAATATCATCTTGAGACATGTCATTGGGCGAGAACCGTACGTAGATCCCAGAAATTGCGATCTACGCAATTTCTGCGATCTAAAAAAAGTACAACTTCTAGTTGTACTTTATTCTAAAAAGGTTGTTTACCGCTTTTAGGGGCGTAAATTAGCGCTCAAGTGGTTAAGTAAAATAACAAAATTGTGGCCTCTCCGCTTACCGTAAGTGTGCTGAAAAATCCCTGGACAACGCTTGCCTGGAAATATTTATCGTAATGAGAAAAACACATCAGACAATGTTCATGAAATCAAATGTTTGTAAGAGCAAGAAAGTGAAGCTTACCGTCGCCGGCTGCCCGTTCTGGCAAACTTGAGTAACGTTATTGATACACTGAAAAATAAATATGAAGCAAACGTTAAAACAACCTCAACCGAATGTCTGTTCTTTTCTATGGACATACATTGAAGATAACGCCTGAACGTTAACACAGGGTTGTTCTTTTATTGTGTAACTTTAAACACGGAATTTTCTATTTCAAGAAGTTTCGGCAGCATAATTTACACGCGATGCTAGCAGACGACTTGGGTTTCCACAATAAATAAGTGAATTTCATTTTCTACCAACCAATAAGCGTATTTCTTCTAATTCGCATCCATAAACGAATGTCTGAGAAAGAATATTTTGCCCATAAATATATACTATACAACACAACTTTGCGCCGAAATTTTGCCAGCCTTCTTTCCATTTTTTTATTTTGTTTAAAGCAAACAAGAAACCATTCATTTCGAAATCCAAGTGTATTATTTACTAAGTTTTTTTGTTTTTTTTAGGTGAGTGCATTTTAGTGGGAAAAGGGGAATTAAAGACGGAAGTAACCAAGAAAAAAATTAACTCAGTTGGGTTCTGGATCTAAGATTTATAAATATCAGCAGGTATGCTCTTTACTGCACCGCTCTTCATCAGGTCTTGACAAAAAACTGGTTCCTGGTCAAAACATCGCATTAAATGTCTCTATATTAAATCTGACAGAGAACGTCGTCTTCTCACGTATATATAACATTCGTTAAGGCACACCTTTAAAGTCTTTCTTGTAAACTCCTCTGCAATGTACTTTGAACACCATATTACTTAGAAATCGGTTTATCTGTGCCACCATTCAGAAGAACAAACGGTATCGTGATTGCTAATGCAGGTACAAGAAAAAAACACATGGAATTTTTTTTGTTACCAATAAATACAATTAAAAATGGATAATATGTTTGTCTTTGTCATCGGTTCCAAACTTTAGACTCTGAGTTTTTCGACATGGTCTCGGAGGCTCCCCCAAAGTGCAGAAATATGTGGCCCATGAAAAGAATGGGATTCTCGCTGAAAAAGTGGCTAAACGTTTAATGATCAAATTGTGTCAGCAGTTGTAGTCACTGGCCGTGAAGAAACGCAGAGCGTGATTTGTTCCGGGCACCTTATTATTGCACCGCGGCTAATGAAATTGTGGCATCAGCTGATAGGAAAGAACTGCGAAAATTGCACCACTAAGCAACAAGCGTGACGATAATAGGCTAGGTATTAAACAGCTCGAGCAAAGCCCCATTACACATTAAAAAACACAGACGTAACACTATACAAACTACACCTATGTATATGACCGATTAGGGTATACGGCCTGTCTCGAAGTACGTCTTTTACCTTTTCGACACCCAGAGCACTTGGGAAGCTGAACGTGATTGGATCCTGGCAAGTCGAATTGTTGCCCAGTTGAAGCGTGCTGCAGCCGGGCAGGGCAAATGGTCCGCTGCAGAGTGTCTTAAGGAGCATTGAGATGGTATTTCCGACTGCGGAAAGCAGAAACTATGCATGACAGGCTGTTCATATAGTACGAACAGAGTGTGCCTTCTTTCACCCCCAGGTAGCCCGGTCCATTAAACCAAGATTTGGTGGTTTTGCTATAATTTAGGGTCGTAAAACGTGCGAAAACTTAAGTTAGATCCAAACTTGACCTTCCTTGACCCGAATTTGGGTATCTTGACCCGAGTTCACCAAACAAGTTTCCAAGGTAGGCTTCACTGTAGGTTCTTGGCTGTCATTTGGAATCTTTGTGCATGAATCGTCAAATAAGTGTCGGACGTATGCTTTACGTTTGATTGTTTGATATTAAGATGTCAAGTGTGGGCCTAAGTCGGCAAAGAAGTGCCTGATTCAGACTTCACTATTCTTCCCCGGTTCATACGTGGAATTTTGGGTCAAATCTGGCTCTTCGTGAATTCTATTGCGAGCCAGCGAATACCATAAAAATTCAAACGGAGAGTACTCTGGCACTAACCAACGCCTTGGTGCAGAACCGTGTTACGCCTAGCTTAGTGCACTGGAAATGCGAAGCTTGAGCCGAATTAGGCGCATCCCTGGAGTGCTACCCGGGCCACTTCGTTCATTGAATTTTACGTCCAAAAGTCCTGCACTAGTTTAACATGATGGCTTAAGCAGAAGATTGATATTGCAATGAATTTCAAGTAATTCACGTCTGACTTATTTTTAGCAAGGAAACGTCCGCTTTCTTTCAAACCTTTTCTCCAAGGGTGGAAGATTGAAGCGCTATTCTAGCCATTAAAAGTAGTTTTTGCTTCTTAGCACTTCTCAACAACTCCACAAATCGTTTGATGGAGCTGTTTGCTTCGTCTGCATTGACATAGGGGAGTACGACAGGTCTGGTGGTTGGCCTTTGTTTTTCTCAACGAGCTAGGGGGGCCTTAGAGCGATAAACTGGCAGCTGAAAGTGACCCCCAGTTGGCCGTCGCCACGTTGCACATGGGAAGGCCAATTGGGTGCACTATTGTCAATCCTGCCGCAGGCGCAATGCCGGAGAAGCGAAAGCAATGACAATAAGAATATCAACTTCGTTTTGACATCGCTGGCCTTGCACCTGTTGCACGAGGGGTACGTTTTACCCTCGTGTGACGGTTTGACTGATTTAGGGGTTTTGGAGAACGATCAGTAAGTTTCTTTTGGGACCATATGTTCATTTTTTTATCTTTAAAAGTTAACTAGCGAAAATTTTGTTATTTGTTTTTCCAATTATTGATTTCTTAATCTTTAAGCATTTCCGAAAGTATGCGCAGAATCACCGGTTGTATACACGATGTTTTGTAGGAGAAGCTTATACAGCCGACCGCCCCTTGAAAACCTGGTCAAGTCACACTGGGTAAGAGAAAATATTGTAAAGTCACCAATTTGGCAACTGCCAGAATACTTCCGCTGCCAATAAATATTGAGCAATGCACGCGCACTGAAATCGAAAAATTGCAAAAAAACAACCCAAAAAAACATGCTCGAAGATCCAAGAGGCCCACGTAAGTGTGACAGAGTGTAATCGCGAATATATGTTTTTTCATAACATGATGTAAAACGCACCGATGGGTATTCTTCCGGTTAAGTAAGTGATGAGTCCGGTGACTAGAGACAACTGAGATCCAAGGGTGAGCGACGATATGCCGGAGACGGAACACTGAAAAGAAATATTCATTGGCGATGAGCATTTGTTTTAGTTAGAAACCTCGCGCAGGCCTTTGATGGTTTGCACAATATTCGTGGCTTTTAATGTGCGAAGGGCAGCACAGTGGTACAGAATGATTGATATGGGGTATTTTTTGCCATTAATTCTCTCAGCAACAAATTAACGGTCACCAAACACATCAGCAACAAATTAACGGGCACCAAACACATTTTCATTCAACATAATTGCTCTTTGTGTTTGTGTTTTTATATTTGAAGTTTTTACATGGGCTTTTTGGTTAAAAGGTAGAGGAGAAACAGCGCGAACGCACACAGAGCGAACGTTATAGTGTAAGCAAAAGGTTCTTCGTTCAAGATGGTCGTTCTGTCTTTCGGTAAATTACCTCCACACCACATTCGAAGTCGCCGTATTTAAGGAGCGCTTCAAACCGCAGCAGTGCTTATGTTGGCAGGGAACATTTTAATACTATACACTCTAAAAAATCTGAAGCTTCTGCTCTTCCGGAAAGCACTTAGGATGGTGAATTACTTCGAAAAAAGCCCTGCGAAAGGCAGAGCTCAAAATATGTTCAAACCTAAAAACTTTTTTCCACAGTGGAAGTGGGCATAATCTATTACTGTGTTAGTGCCACAACGCGGGCCATTTTTTCGGGCGTTAAGACATATTGTCAACCCTATCATTCCCCTAGCGCCCTCCGAAGAGTGCAGAGATTGGCTCTCCCCAATGCTTTGCGGGAGAGCAGAAGTTCCAAATTTCTTAGTGTAGTCTTTGAGAGCTCGAGAGGCGCAAGTCGTTCCGAGTCCCTTAGCATCTGATTATATTGCGTCGCAATCAACAGGTTTGTGGCATTAGCTGACAAGAATTCTGTAGAACCAATCAGAACCTAAGAAGCGTGAACATTACATGTCAAGTCCTGCGTTGCTTTAAGAATCGGTAACAATACTTAGTTGCCTGCCAGGAGCGAGCCTAGGCAATCAGAGGAATTTTAAGGAGTAAATTTTTTGGGTATATTGATTTTGTCACTCTAATATTACATGATCACCGCTGTGGGTTTGCTAATACAAGAAAATAAACAAGCGGACAATATCCACAAAGAGAAGGATGCGAAGTAACTCGTCCGGCGAGAGACTAAACTCAGTACATTCATTTTTTGCGAGACATCCGGCATCAGACAGGCCGCGTTAAGTGCTCCACATAAACTAGTAATTTTAGCCAAGGGTTTTTACGGGTCTTGTTATTTCCGAGTCCTTAAAGTGCGTAAAACCGGGTTTTACTCAGCAAAGAAGGCACTCCTTCATAATCATCACTCTCTGAACACGTCATATTCTTGATAGTCGCCTATCCTAGGAGCATTCTAACTAAGACATATTTATACGTATTTTACGAAACATAAATGTCTGTCATATTCACACCCTAGGCATCCCTTTTGTGCGACCTACGATCAAAAACTACGAAAGGAACGTGAGCTGTGGTCCATACCTTCATCTGTTACTAACGTCCCGCGTCTTTTCAAACCCCTAATAACGTCTCGATTTTGTAACACTAGTTAATCAATTACGTATTTTTCAAAGGGCTTCGAACTTTAATGGTACGTACCTGTCATTAATCTCATATAGATATACCATGAACGTAGGAAACGAGCTCCAAATTTTTAGAGCTTTTCTGCACATTGTGGATGAATTGCATTTCTACTCATAATTTTAAAAAAAGGTACTCACGGTTATCAGCTGGGTGAATTGGGGAACAGTCGTATTCTGTAATGCGTAAAAAATATATAAATTTAATGGTATGCTTTATAATTATTAATTATTTTTACATTAGGCAAGATAGAATTAGATGACTCTTTTTAACAACAATAGTTTTAATATATGCAGAGGTCTGTGTAATACGTTGAAATAATTTTAGGCGCCCGTTTCCGGCTTGAGTGGCGTCGGAGTCGCCGTCGCCGTCGCCCTCGGCGTAACCGCGCGGTGCATTATGGGAAACGTCCCATAATGCACCGCGGTGACACGCGCGTTGCATTATGGGACGTTTTCCATAATGCACCGAGAGGGAGGGAGGATGGGGAGGTGGAGGGAGGAGGAGCAGAAGGGGGAGGAGGCGAGGCGCACGGGAGGAGTAGATGAGAAGAGAGGAGGAGAGGGTACAGATGGGGAGGAAAGCATACCGCCCCCTACCCTCCTCCTCCTCAAGAGCTGTGCTCTAATTCGGCATTACAGGGAGTTGTAAACTTTTTTCATTTTTATTTCTTGAATGCAAGTTGAAACAGTGCAACTCAGTGCACATGTTTTGTTTTTATTGCCACATCAACACCCCACGAGTCGCCGGGAGGGCGCATGAAGCTGTCTATTTCAGTTAGTAGTTCATGTACTATTTTATTTAAATAGCCTTATAATGTTAGGATTTCGGAATCGGTTGAAACATGTTTAAAGTTATTGTAAATGTAAATATATTTGCAGCTCCAATTATAAATTATAATTCCCTACCTGATGCTATCGAGCCTGTAATAAAACTTATTATTTTAGCGTTTGCCCTAGATTTAGATATTAACATTGAAATTTTTAAGGCCAGATACTCACCAGCGAGATTCCATTGCAGGTGTTCCCAATTGCGCTCACACACTGCATTGCACGGAAAGAAAGGAAGACGCAATTAATCGTGCTTGTCCTGATTTCAAATATCAGAACTAGAATCTATTTCTCACTTTTTATTGCATTTTGAATTACTTGCGCAGCAAGCTTCGCCGATGGCATAACTTAACGGTAACTTCGCTGATGGTTTAACTTAACTTAAACGGATATTGCATAAAAAGGAAATCTTACTCTCTTGGTTGCTCTGCTAGGTTCGGTACCATACTTTTTACGTGTATATCGGTATACAATAACTGTATTGTTCTTGTTTTTATAATTAAAGGCCTCGTGTTTGACTGAGAATATCGTTTGGCGAGTTATCGCTGGCTGCTTGTTGGGTGCTTTAATGTTAACTTTTTACCAGTTTTGAAAAGGCTGCAATTACTTTTAAATAAATGTAAAAAAATTTAGGTTTATCGTAAAAAATAGAAATCTAAGTTTTTCAGAGTGCAAGAATCTAAAAAACGTGAATTACTCCAAAAAATGTCGAATATGCAGGCCAGTAAAATATTATCTAAACTCTTATTTTTTAAACAACATGATTATTAGGCCTCTACATACAAGTATGCATTGGCGTTAAGTCTTTGACGTCATCATCTGAGATATTTTTTATGCAAATTTCAAAACGTTTGCTAGCTTGTCATGCTCGCCCTTATATGATTGCGTCATCTCATCACGAAAAAGTACATTCAGTAGAGTAACAACTCTATGTATGCTAAAACATAATCAAAATAAATATTCGTGAGGTTTAGCGGTTATTTGGAAAGTATAACTTGCGACAACATACCTTTCCAATGTTAAAAAAGCCAGGAAAGTTGACATTAACACAGTTATCTAAAAAAAGAAAGGTGTACAGAATTAGATCCTGCATTCTCTGCCGGTGATGAGTTCATTTGAAGTTAGACACTGTACAATCATTAAATTCGTTTCAAAACGTGTTGCTGTGTATAATTCTTACTATGGGCGATATTTGAAATCAAACTGTGATCATACAGTCATTATAAGGTGACGTTGATCATATTCAGTTTAAATTGTTTCTCATAAACGGCACATAAAAGTGGAAAAAATAAATAGACCCTAAGCAGAACCTTATTGTAGCACATTAAAAAGTGGCGTGGGTTGTTTATGCATGATTACGACAAAACAGCGCGATGAAAAACAACAAATACAGAGAATAGTACACAGACAGAGCACTGTCTGTGCACTATTTTCTGTCCTTTGTGACATGTTTATCACGCTATCTTTTCGTAATCAGAAACTAGGTCTATCGGTCACTTGGCGTGATCACGAAGAGTGCCACTAAACAGCAATATCATGAAGTAATGAAAAACGAATTGATGAAAGAACAAAAATATTACTCCCAAGAGAAGAATACATAGTTGCATGATGATGATGAATTAGCAACTGCGTTAATTAACTTTCATGAACACAATTAGTCTAAACTAGAATTCGTTTTCTTCGTTCCTTTGAACATTCAAGGACACTGAAGTAAGTCTTCAACAAACGAAGTGAAACACCCTTAAATAAGTGCACTGGCGTGCGGTCCATTCAAATCTCGGTCTTCGGGAATAGAAAGAAAACAAAGAACAGAATAACTCACTGCTTGTAGCCGACGATGTGCCGAGCAGCACTGCGAAGGCGCCGAGGATGACCAAGACGGAGTTCTTCATACTGCTGTTCTGGTTTGTGTTGAGAGTTTTCAGGAGCTAGAAACTGATCAACAAGTCGATATGGTTTAGGGGCCAGGGTGATACTGCTATTTAAACAATTCATGTATGTCACGTGATACATCCTGTGCAGTAGTACTGAATCACGAAACGTCGCATCGTTCCCACGTGTGCCTTTAATTGACGTGCGCGCTGTCCACCCACGGGCTTCACTGGGTCGTGTGCATTCACGCTCAGTGTTTATTTTTGGACCCCTTTTTCATAACAGTTCCGTCACGGATGTTCCAGCCTTGTCATGTACAAACCACGCTTCTGACGTTAAAACAGAAAGAGCCTTCATTTCGAACGAAAAACAAAGTCATCATTTTCCACATGCCGTCAGGGTCGCCCTTTTCTGACATCTGATTTTGCTTTCAGTTTTTAGTTTTATTGTAACATAAAAACAAGGTTACTAGTTGTTCAAAGTATTTAGATACAGTTCGAATAGGTTCGCAAACAATTCGGAACGGTGTGGTTCGCACATCCGAATTGTGAAACACGGAGTCGAAATTTATTTTAAATAGTACTTGAAGGTGACATTATGTACTTCAGGGTGAACTTTTTATTAGAGCCGTTGAAATAAAAAAAAATATCGATGAATAATGGAGCAATCGGCTTTGACTTTTTTTCCAGGGACGCTCTCTGCCAGAACCTAGATGATTTTAATGTCTGAGTAATGGCCTTATGGACCTCTTCTATACAAATTGGTCACATTACACATTCCCTTGTTTCGCAAAGTTTATGTAAGAATGGTATTTGTGTGTACTGTTATCTTATTTTTGATCGCGGTATTTGTTTTCCTATAGCGGTGTGACCGTTTACCTGCATACAAGCCTAAAGTTTGAAATTATTTCCAAAAAATATATTGTAATAAATAACATCGTGTGATACAGCCTGGCAGAAATACCGAGCAATGTTTAGGTGCTTCGTTATAATTTATTAAATCAAGCTCTTTCATTTCAGTGCATGTGCACAACAACCTATCTATTAATTTCAACTAAGAAGTGAGAGCAGTCTGTTGAGTTGGCTGGCAGTAACAAACTTCCGTCTTTCTTTCGATATAGAAATTACGTCTATTGCAATCGGGGCAATACCGGCTCTGACACTGAGCAAAATGGATGTGTCTGTTTTTTTCATCTCCATCAAAACATAATTGTGTTTTTTGTGTTTCTGCGTGTGACATGCATCGGTGCCAAACCATTTTCAAATTTCCTGCTATTCTACCCGTTGAGCTGATTTTTTTTTATCAACGAAATTTTGTGTGTCCTCAGGAACACCAACTTCTTATGACAATAAAATAGGCACCTCGACAGAACCAAGTGAGAAGGCAGGCAGTGATAGGTTCAAGCTTAAACGTATATTCAAATCTTTCTTAGAATGGTTTACAGCGTAAGCTTCTGGAAACAAAGCTCGCTAACTAGAATAATAAAAAAAATGTTTTAGCCTCTCATGTTCTGTGATTTAACTTTCTATCGGAAGATACACGTAATCAGTGACTATGGAAATAAATAAGATGCCAATGAATTCTAGATGTCACACTTTGGATTTAGCAGAAAAAAAAATTAACTTGACACTTGACTTGCCTATCCTCACTGCGGAAATCAGGATTTTCAGGCCTAGCAGTATTTTGAGCTTGGTCATTTGCTGAAAGTTTTTGGTTGTTCGCAATTTAGAAGGCTTTAAAAAAAGATACCTTCATTACTTTTTTTTACTTCCCCTTCAATAGATTTATTAAGAACCAGTTTTGTACGGAATGGCGTTCCAAGGAGTAACGCTCAGGCCACACCTTTCTTTAAGTGGGAACAAACGATCGCCGCAATTTTGTTTTGCAGTTGTGGAACTGTAACGGACTCAATTTTTTCGAGAGAACAGCAGAATGAAAGGCGTTTTCTTTTATCTGCTATTTTACTTGAATATAGTGGTCACTTAGGACTTTTATCAGCTACGATTTCAACCTGCAAGTTCAAGGGACAGGAAAATCTCCAAGAAATACCGTATTTACTCGAAGAATAGCCGCACTGTTTATGAAGAAAACCTGAGGGTTCGCTTTTCCGCGGAGCACGCAGATTGCCTATCACCGCGATCGACAGCACGATTCCAGCTGTTTACAAGACAGAAATAATGTTTTCGTGCGAAGATACCATCTTTGAAGATTCCATTTGTAGGGACAATCGTGATCTTGATCTGCTTATTCCCTATGTTATTTATGCACAACGCAATGATTGGCTGTATATGTGTTCTGCGGGAAAGTAGACGGAAGGGCTTTGTTCATAAATAGTCCGGCTATTACTCGAGAAATGCGGTAGTCGAAAACAAATAACCTAGAACAAATTTAATCCCGGCGATTCGACAAGTAGTTCGATGTCAATAATTTCACTTGATTGATTGATTTAATTTAAAAATTAAGCTTCCTGAACTGTTTTAGAGGAACGTGTACAACACTGACTGGAACCCAGCCTATAGATTTCATTATAAAAAGCTCCGGCGGGAACATTTACACTTAGGCCGCTTTACATTTTTTTTTATACATAGCGAAATAAAATTAATGGCGAATACGACACTCATAACGCCTATTCTGGAGTCCGCTAATATAGTCTGGCGTCCGCATACATATCTAGAAATTAACAAACTGGATAGAGCTAAAAAAAAAGCCTAGTGCGAGATTTGTTTGCAATTTCATTTCTTTCATTTATTTATCCCTTAAATGCCCACGTGGGGGTTTACATAAGGGGGGCGGGCAGTATATCTAAGATAAGTTGATATTTACCTCTTCTTTACTTAGTTTGCTTTCAGAAGCTAATATCACAAGATCGAAGATAGACTAAGGCATCAGTTTTTTTTTTGTAATTATTTAATTAATGTGAGCAGTAAAATATATATGAAGTTTTGGCAACCGGCTAATTCTAAATAAATTATATGAGGGCAAAAGAACAATATAAAATAAAGCCTGACGTTTTCTTCATTCGCTTTTCGTTTTGGCAAATACAGCAAGAAAATGTTATCAGAAGAAATCGGGACCCTTCACTCCCACAGCGACGTTTTTGACGAGATTACTTCGGTCGCGAATTAGTGCTCCTGGAAATTATATGCCATGCTAAAGAAACTGATGTTCCTATTGAGGTAGCACGGCAGAGAAACGCCTAACTTCGCATAAGCTTAGTAATCATCGCGGTCTCACTATTTCGTAATACGGTTTTGCTCCAGGTCGTTAGTTAGAGCAAGATTTCTTTTTTTTTGTCATTTTTCTGGTTCGTCGCGGAATTTTCAAAGTATCAGACTTGAACCAAAGACGTGTGAAACGAAGATCCAGCAGTAAAACATAAATCTGGAATTTGTATCGCGATTTAGGCCCAAAGTTGCAGTATGAAAACTTAAAAGCCAACAACTGAAGCCCAAGTTTGGCAGTTCTTTGGTGATTGATGCTCACAGATGCGAGACAACAGCGAAAAATACCAGCAGTGAAGAGCACTTTGCCACTTGTTTTGTGAATTATGGCCAAGATACCCGCAATCTGGCCGAGAAAGGCCAAGATTGGCTTTATCTTGGCTTCTCCGGATTTTTAGGGCCCTCAACTTCCAGGAAAAGGCTGAAGTAAGAAATGTTCCACCTGGGTCTATGCCCAAACTTGGTATAACACTCATTTCTGAGCCGCTGTATGCCTTAAATTAAAATTAAAACCGTGAAGTATATTTGTTTCCACGACGACAAATTTTAAAATACCTTCGTGACATCAGACATAGGAATGATTTTATTTGTGACGTTACGATTGCTTATGCATCGCGGAATATATTCTGTTTAAATCGGTAGCATGCGAGGGCGAACATTAAGACCCCGTTCGTTTTGTGTATTTTTCAAGTAATTCTTTCCTGCCCAATGGGCTAATTTTTCACTTTTTTGCTGACCGCATTTATAATGTAAAAATATATTCACACGCCAGTCAAGCTTTTAATTTGATGCACTCAAACCCGAATAAGACTTCGTCTTACAATCCATAAATAAAGTAACTTTTTGTCAATAGCCGTGACCGGAACGCGCCTATAATATATTTGACAACATATGAAACCAATACTGATAAGAAGGTACCCAGGAACTGATATAGTAAAGCGGTTTTGAAGTTTAAAGGGTTTTGTTCTTTTTTGTTTTACTTAACTGATTTGTTAAAAGCAAAATCGCCCAAGCTACCCTTATGCGGTTTTCGGAAGTGGGTTATTCATCCAGAGGGTATACAGGCTAATCGTAACGATCAGTCTGCTCAAGAAGTATAATTTGTTAATTAACTTTTTAATTTGTGAAAATAGACAAATGGTTCCAATTGGAAACTAGCTGAGCGTCATCGAAAACTCTTAAAACAGTACCTCTCAGAAAGACTTTGAGTGCGTGGGTAGAGCGCTAGGGTTACCACTCCTGCAGCAGGAGTAAGGCTACAGGTGCGATAATGCGCCCGCGGTATTTTTCCGTTTCTTATTATAGACCCCCAGCCTTGTTCCTGCTGCAAGAGTGGTACCTTTTGCGTACTAGTACTCTTCCCACGTGCTCAAGGTATTTCTACAAATCATTGATTTAGTGGTTTTTGATGACGCTCAGCAACGTTCGAAGAGGAACGATATGTATGATTTAACTAATTAAAAGTTAATAACAAATTGTACTTAATTAGGCGAATCATCGATACGATTGGCCCCCTATTCTATGTCCTCCTCAACGTAAAACTCGCTTGTACAAACCGTATAAATGTAGATTTTACGGCTTTTTTTATACATACAAATCTGCTAAGCTTAAAAAGAACGCCCTAGCTTATTTGCCAGGACGTACAAATTTCATTTGTACGTCCTGGCAAATAAACTACATCTAAACCCTGAAAGGGTCGTCTTCAAACAAGGCACGTTCTTAGAAATGCCTAGCGTGGACAGTTATATTGCTCACAAAAACAAAATTAGCAAACAAAAAATAAAACAAAAAACACGCTTTACTGCGACATCCCTTATTCCACAGAATAACACCTAGAAACATAAAA